TATCCATGCTTTCGGACAGATGGCGCGCCGCAGTGGCCAGAAGCTTACAACGTGGCACCCACCCCAACGTGGGCTCGGGCACAGTTCTCCTTTGAGCCGAAAGTCGAGTACCACATCGGGCAAAAGCGGCTTCAGACGGAAGCCGCAAAACTGGAAAAAAAAAAATAGTAAAAAAAAAAAAAAAAAAAAAGAAGCAAGCAGCTCATGGACCCCCTATGCAAGGGCGACGACTCTCTTTAGACGTGGATGACCGTCGTTCAAAATTTGAGGAGGGGTGGGGAGCCAGAAGGTGGGGGAAACCTTTGGAACAAAGGGCCGAATCTCAACAGATCGTGACGACAAGGCCACTCTACTGCTTACAACACCCCGTTCCCTSTCTAAGTCGTCTGCAAAGGGTTTGACTCCCCGAGCGAAAGAAATTGCGATGAMGAGACCCCCAGGGCGTCGGTGCTCCGCCGCAGGAGGGACAACTCCGAACTTATGCTTTCGGGGCCAAACCGGCTGGCCCTATCGACAGCCTTGTGTCATCCGAGGAGGCATACGCCRTCGCTGCAAGCACAGATTCTTACTTAGAGGCGTTCAGTCATAATCCCACGCACGGTAGCYTTGCWSCGCTGGCTTTTCAGCCAAGCASAATTGCCRATTGTGCGAACCAACGGTTCCTCTCGTACTGGGTTGGATTACCATTGCGACGGCGGTGCATCAGTAGGGTAACACTAACCTRTCTCACGATGGTCTAAACCYAGCTCACRTTCCCTGTTGGTGGGTGAACATTGCARGGCTAAACTCAAATTTCTCTGAGTTTGGCGGCGTCCGTTCCCAGCGGGTTCAACAGCGGACTGGAGGCTGGGTAGGACTCTCCCAGGAGGGAGTTCCGTTAGAGAACTTTAGCCGTTTCTTATACTAGACAGATTAGCCCTCCCATTCGATGTCGTCGTCCCAATGATAACCGCTCCAGTATGAGATTTGTCGTACCACCATTCGTAGGTCCTTTTATGTAGACCCCGACCTTTTTACTCCCTTTTTCAAGGAGGCGGGCTGGCGCGTGGTCGTTCCAAGCCTAGCCCTTTCATCATAACGCCCCTCTCATGGTTGAGAGAGTATGCCTGTTTTTGCAGCGAGGGGTATCGGTTGGACTGCTGTTCCGCACTAGTGATGGGCACACATCTCACTCTCCTCGAGGCTTTGAGGGGTCCTACCGACACTACCGGGGGGATGCCGCTCTGACTCCCGATTCCCTCGTTAAAGGGTCTCGGATTCCTTTGCAATATTGCCCCTTCCAATTCTGACAGCGCTTTCTCCATTTCCCTTTACTGGCTCTTCTTAGCTTCCCTTATTGCTTCCTCCCTTCCCAATTCCTGGGTTCGCTTTTTCCTTGTTGGTTTTCCCGTTCCATGGATGTATTTCCGCGGGTCTCCCACTCTCCGAGGTTGGTTTCCTCCTTATTTGCACCTAAGGAGGGTCATGATCCATTTTACCGAGGTGGCCTTCAAGGTTTCTGCAAT